CCCCCCCCCCCCCCCCTGGCCCCCACCGGCATTACATTGATAGGTGCATAACAACAAACTACTAATTTTTTGGAGAATTAATAGAAAGTAAAATACAAGTAAAGGGGAACCTTGATCACATGGTACAAATTTATTTTACTGTTTGCCATAAACGTGACCCTGAATTGCACTATAAAATTGTGGCTACTCAGCTACATTGCTAACGTAGCCACATAACCCCTTGTTTAGTAGTATGGCTTTGAAGTGGCAGGGTATTCTGTGTTTAAGCCCTGGATACCCTCTTTAGCTTTATGGGTTAAAGGGTATGAGTCCTCTTCAACCTCAGAGAGAGAAAGAGTAAGTACTGGTATTCATGTTTTCCTGGAAATCTAGATCTGGGGAGATTTGAAATCTGGAGACTTTCTCTTTGGCAGATCTCCTCTCCCTACCCTGCACATGTACACACGGAAAGAAACTCAGTCCTCAAATCATTTTGTCATGGTGGACTGTTAAAAATCTAAATATCAGAGTCTGCCTCCACAATGGAATAATTTGTCAAAATAACCTTTACCTTGATGAAAAACCCAAAAACTGCTTCCAGAAACTTAACCAAGAACTTTAAAATCCCCCTTTTTTTAAATGAAATATTTGGAGCTAAATTCTGGTTTATAGTATGGAACCTACAAAAGACATTTTTCATGGGAGATGTTGATGCATGTTTCACATAATCCATTATAAGCTGGTAATGGAACTTACAGTAGCCCGGTCCCTTTTCCCTTTAGTTTTTCTTTTAAGTAGGTTCATGTGGGTTTGCAGAGATGAGCTGTTAAAAATGATCAAGTCTCCAGATATCCAGAGTATCTTGGTTTCCTCAAAGTACAATAATTTGCATGTGTATTTTGACTCTTAACATGCAGGCCGGAGCTACTCATGACCTTGTTCAGAAGAAGCTTGTGTACTTGTACATCTGTAGTTATGCTACATCCAATCCTGACCTGGCCCTTTTAACAGTGAACACCATGAGGAAAGACTGTCAAGACAGGAGTGCCATAGTCAGAGGTCTTGCCCTTAGAAGTATGTGCTCTTTAAGGTGAGTTTTGCTGGTACAGTCAAACCCTGTTAATAAGGACCGACACTGAAGGAAGGGGCCATAGAAAGTGTCCGCTGTATTAACAGGGTGTCCATCTTGTTGTTAAAGTCAAAAAACACTTTTTATCAGAACCAAATACGTAAGAAATAACAGATAGACTAAATCCATGAAAAAAACTCTAAAATCACTCATCTTTATATTACTTAATCAAAAAAACTTTTCAGAATCGAGTCTCGAGAATCAATTCTTGTGTTTCGAGAGTCGAGTGCAGAAATATAATGAGCTTGACTGATTGACTGACTTGACCAACAAATTTATCAAACAGACCACTTTCTGTTTTAAGAATCGTGAAGTACGTGCTGCACTGACACTGTTTACCGAAAACGTTAGGAACGAATGATTAATGAAGGTACCATTTTGTTTTAAACACGAGAACTTTGTATAGGGTGTGTTTCCTACTTACCAATGGTACCAATGGGAAGTTCATGCAACTACTCCACTTACACGGACCTTGATTTCACATACTGTTGAAGTGTAAGCTTGAGAAGCTGAAGTTTACTAGACACAACAAAGTGCAGGTCAATAATTGCTTCGACAAACTAGATGCAAGCAAAATTAAAAGCATGGAGACTTAATAGAGGTGGCATAGAGTTGAACACACACATTACTTGGAGCTGTCTTTCATGCTTGTTAATTTAAGCTGTTTTTCCTTTGTTTTTCTTGATACAGGCTTCCTGATCTGGTAGAATATATTGTAGAACCACTCCTTACTGGCCTGAGTGACAATAGTTCTTATGTTCGCCGAGCTGCTGTCTTGGGATGCATTAAATTGTTCCATTTACTTCCTGATTTTGTTGAAGGTAGTAGACGCGAAAATGTCAAAATGTGTTTAAGTTGTGACTTAGAACAAATTATGGCAAATTCAGTTTTGCACATATAAATGTGAGGCTGATTTTTGGAACAAAATAACTGTCATGGTAAACAATGATCAAGAATGCGGCATTCTCTTTAAATTTCTTGAAAAGGAGTAAAAGAATATCTGCTAACATCCAAAGCCTCAGAGTGACTTCCTTGTAAGTTATCTCTGAAGAAGCAAATGAGATAATTTAGATGCTCTTTTTTTAATTAACAGATAATGGAATAATTGAGAAACTTGTTAGATTGATTCAGGACCCAGATCCCCAGGTTTGTGTAATATTTGTTGATTTTGTAGGATGATGCCTGAAAGAAGCACTCAGCATCAGGGCCCGGTTTCTGAAAGGCTGATTAGTGTTAATCCAGGATTAAAATTTTGCTGCGTTTTTGAATTTGACATTCCCAAGCATTGGTTAGGTTAACATTTTGAGTTATCATTGCTGTATCTCTTGGTAAAGGCTCAACAGTATTTTGTAACCTTGAGGTGCATGTTCTTAGACAAGAAAACTGTGCTTCAGATTTGGCTTAATCCTGGGTTAAACTTAACCATCTTTCAAGTAAGGGGAGAGATTGATGAGCAAAGTTTTGCTGGTGTTCTTCTGTTTTCTGTAGGTGGTATGTAACTCTCTTTTAGCACTGGATGAAATCCTAGCAGCCGAAGGAGGTGTGCAACTTCAAAAAATAGCAGCTCATCATTTGCTGAAGAGGTAAGCATTTCCCACTTGTGAAATTACCGTAACTGTATTTTTAAAGGTCAAGTTAGAATTTTCATATAACTTTTAGTCTAAAGTAGAATTTGCTTCATAAGTATTTGACTGAAAGAAGTAATTTGATTTGCCATTATATATAATTTATATTTTCCAACAGGTTTAAAGCCTTTAGTGGCTGGGGACAAAGTATGATATTGGAGCTATTGTTGCACTATAAGCCAAAGGATGCAGAGGAATTATTTGACCTCCTGGTGAATGATTATTAAATAAAGTTACTGTGTTAACTCAGTATTAATTATTATAATGATAAAATGGTTAAGGATAAGGTTAGTGTGATCCAGTCCAATCCAGATTTTACCAACATGCTCAGATTATTGGCTATCATGAGTAGTGGTGTAACGATTAATCGAATTCTCGATTAATCGCAATTATGACCGTTCGGTTCGATTCACAATTGTTTGCTTTCACATTTCGATTTTGGTTCAAATTTTGCACACCTTTTCCATGGTGCCCTCAGTGAGTTATTATATTGTAAAATCAGAATCCAGAACTCTTTAAAATGTACATATTTGGTTGACAAGCAAAGACGATAGCAGTTCGTTTGCCATTTTGTGTTGCCTGGTAAAAATGCTGTTCTTCAACCACCCCTTGAGAATTTCCAAATAAGGCAAACCAGGTGCAACACGCTCTTTTTCAGGTTCTCAAACATGGAGACGAACCAAGCGACTGTGAATCCTCCTGTCCCTGTTACCATTCTCAAATTGAGGGTTTAGGGTTGCATGTTGTTTACATTACGCATTATGATGTAAGAATTAAGAAACATTACATAATCAAATCGAAATAATCGAAATCAAATCTAATTGCAAGGAATATGAATCATTACACCCCTAGTCTGCCATGAGTCATTATGGAATAAAGCTGAATAATAAGTACATGCCAAAAAAGAATATAAAAGTACATAATAATGGTGAACTTGAAGTGCTACACTGTAGGTCAATTTCTGTTAAAGTTTGAAAGAGTCGCCTGGGTTACAACTCATCCATTTGCACTCTATGGCCACTTTCCATTCAGCACAAAATTCCAGAAATTTCTATTAGAAATCAAATGGAGCAGACCATTTCAGTTTGGTCCAACCAGAATATTTGGGAAGGTGGTCCACTTTGACCGGTCTTGTCCATTTGACAAAAGTATTGTCCCCAGTACTGCTCTTTAGTATCCTGCTTACAAGAACAATAACCAAACACGCGATGGCTTGGGTGAGCTTGGTCAGGTCGGTCTGTGCAACTGGAATTTACAGTTCCAATGGGCACATGGAATTTCTGAAATTTCAAACCAGAATTTTTGTTGCGTGGAAAGCGCGCTATGTTTTCATACATTTGTCTTCAAGACCATTCACAACATGTCATGTATCATTAACCAAGAAACATGCTTGCAAGGAAGGAAAGTCTTTGGCTTAACCCTTTAAGTATGCATATATTTGCAGCTATTAACGTGACAGAGATTATTTTGTATCATAATTGTTTCAAGTTTTCATCAAGTATTATTAATTTTTAAACATTTTTAGTGATTTGATTTGCATAATTATTGATAGAATTTGCTTGATGATCGACTAAAGCACCCCAACAGTGCTGTTGTGATGGCTTGTATACAGCTCTTCATCAACTTCACAAAAGACATTGACAACCTAGCTGAAGATGTTTATAAAAGAATCAAAGGTTTGTGTGGGTTTAAGGATGGGTTGGCCTTTTACTTCAAGTCTTGTTGTCCACACCACCTTAAAAAAAAAACAAAAAAAAACAGAAAAACACTTATACTAAACAGATACTGTAATGGCATGACGAGGCTTTTAGCATAGCTGCCATGGGAAATGATATTGAAGTAAAAATATTACCAGAAGATAGAGACATTGAAAACCTCTGCTCCATGCTGAGTTTTTTAAACAGACACTTCGTTTTTTAATCTGTTTTGATTTTAAAAAAATTGATTCCGTAACATTATATATTACTGATGATCCTATCATATCAAACAGACATAAAGAGTTAAGAGTTTCTTAATGAAAGATGTTTGTTGAATTCTTGAATTTTCGTGAGAGACAACAAAGAAAGAGAAGAGATTGTAATACAAGGGTATTTAAGTGTATAGCATGAACAGATGACAGTTTTGAATGTGTTTTGTACCTTTACAGGTCCCCTGATGACTATTCTCTCTTCAAGTAACTCAGAGTTGGTTTATGTGTGTTTGTGCCACATAGATGTACTGTTGAGTAAAGTTCCTAAGTTGTTTGAGCAAGAGTACCGTTCCTTTTTCGCCAGGTATGGAGGGGGCTCAGGGAATGGCTGGGTGATATACACTGCACTAAATATTGTTACTTCCTCCATTGTGTTTCACCCTATACTGTGTTTCTTTGTTCTTTATACTGTGTTTTTTTTGTTCTTTCTTTTTTAGGCATGCTGATCCTCAGTATATTAAAACAAAAAAGCTTGAAATCCTGACAACCATTGCATCCGTTTCTAATGTTGAGGAAGTTGTTACTGAGTTGAGGTAGGTATACAAATAAATATTTTATTAACTGAGTTAGGATGTGAGAATTCTTAAGGGGTAAATATATTTTTGTTTTCAACCAACTGTTTAACGATAGTGATTTTTCATGTTTTTCTTGAATTTTACAGTGCCAATGTTCACGATGTGGATCTTAGTATGTCTAAGGAGTCAATCAAGGCCATTGGTAACATTGCTTTGTGCCTTCCTCAGGCATCAGAATACTGTATTGATGTTCTTCTCTCTTTTCTCTCCTGGGAGGTTGAATACATTACTTCACAGACTCTTGTCATTATAAGAGGTAAGTGGTCAAGTTAGAAATTTGAATGGGAATGATTGTGATTTGTCCAATTGGAATTCTATCAGTTTTGACCGTTTTATTGTTATTGCGAAGGAATCATGCACCATGATCAGTTCTCACCAAAGTTATCCTCCCCATCTTTATCATTATCATGATTTATCATCTTAGTGATCATGATCATTGTTAAGAATATCAGTATCATATCCTTCTCATTATTATCAGTTGCAACATTATTATCATTATCCTCATCTGTCTCCTCTTCATCATCATCATTATCATCACCATCGTCACCATAATCTTCATTTTTGTCATTTTCCTCATCATCTGTATTATCCCTATTTTGCTTTAATTCATAACCATAATCGTCATGTTCTTGCCATCACCAACTCCCCTCATCGTTATCATAACCATCATTATCCCATCATCATCATCACCATCATTACTACATTGATCATCCTGATCAGTCTTGTCACCATGACGTGATCGCTCATTCATCCCCCCGGGGGTACTCCCTTATATAAGCCATATAGATATGGTATTTGCACCATTTTGGTCTGAAAACTAAAGGAGTGTTTGACCGTATTTGTTTCAATTCCAGATGAATAAGTAAGAAAGAGACATATGGAAATTTGAAATGGATTTAATTCAGACATTTTTTTGTTAGCATCAGTAATGCAAATGATGACATAATTTTTGAGAGGATTTTAGAGGCCAAGTCTAAAAACAGCTTTGAAAAATGACATTTTTTGGTCTGAAAGAGGGTCAGGATTTAAAGAACCAGACGGCACACCCTGATCAAGAATTCTAAGGAGTACCCCCGGGACTCATCCTTTTGATCATCACCATCACTCTTGACAACTGTAGCTTCATATTATTATTACCATTGTCAATATCCAATTATTATTACCCGTAATGCTGTACTAGTTACTGTCATAATAATAGTGATATGAAAGAAATGTTATCCTTTTTTTCCAAATAATGCCTTTGACAATACCTGGATCAGACTTAAGCCAGTTTTAGACTCTATCCCTGACCTTTCATCAATATTTTAGCTACTTAAAGGAGTTGATCTGATCCATTTTTAGTTGACCTCTCTTTTCGTGACCACTTTTTTCCCTGCCGTCAGTACTACTTTTACATTTGCTTTTTGCATGTTATTAATATGGTGATGTTTGCGTTTATCATAGACCTTTTGCTGAAATATGAGAAGTCAGCTATTGCTGTTCTGCCTCAAGTGGGGCAGTGCCTTGAAATAGTTCAAGACCCAAAGGGATTGGCAGCAATTATCTGGATAATTGGAGAGCATGGACAGGTGAGAGCTATGTAGGGGAGCAAGGGTGGTGCAGTGGTGAGAGCGCTCGCCTCCCACCAATGTGGCCCGGGTTCAAATCCCGGTGTCGACGCCTTATGTGGGTTGAGTTTGTTGTTGGTTCTCCCCCTTGCTCCAAGAGATTTTTCTCCGGGTACTCTGGTTTTCCCCTCTCCTCAAAAACCAACATTTCCAAATTCCAATTCGACCAGGAATTAGGTAGACGAAGAACCACTATGTGGATGTGCTACCTGCAAATCGTTATTTATTTATTTATTTATTTATTTATTTATTTATATGTACAGACTCAATCAAACTTTGTTATTATGGATGTTAAAGAGGACAATTAACAAATAAAGAATTTTATTTTTTATCATTCACTGTAGAACTTTATGTGTTGCATATAGACAGGGATTGCATTGAGATTATTTCTTCAGTTCACTTTTAAAATTATTTCTGGGATCTACTGGGATAAGAGAATTGAATAGCGCTTTACAGCAAGAGCTTATGTCGATGTACCCAACAAAATTGTTAGGGGTAATTTTTTTAAGAACCCATGAAAGAGGTCTTAACATTGACGTGCATCCCAGACTAGCCTTTGGTGCATTTGTAAACAAAAAATTAAATAACCAGGCAATCCAAAAATAAATAGCTATGTAGCTGTGTAAGCATACAAAGACCTTGTCAGACTGACTGCAGGTGAAATAAAATATGTTACTGAGCTGCTTTATTTTTGTTATTATTTAGTCAATTCCTGACAGTCCTTATATGTTGGAGCCCCTTGTGGACAGAATTGCATCAGAGAGTTCAGCAGAGGTGAAATTACAGCTTCTCACTGCATCCATGAAGCTGTTTTTTAAGAAACCACCAGAGTGCCAAGACATGTTGGGCCGACTGCTCAAATACTGTGTAGGTAAGAATTACATCTGAAATCGGCATGGTGAGCTTCCTAGCTAGGTTTACAGGCATTGCAAACACCAAACAGCATTAACAAACAACATACACAAAAGAATAAGTGTAGCTAACCAAAGTTACCAGACTGTTTGCAAGAAAACCGTTTATCGGTGACCAGTCTGCATAATCTGTGCAGTATGCCAGCATACTGTCAGTAGTTATTTAGAAATAAAATGTTTCATTTTTCAGATGAAGAAGTGCATATGGATGTACATGACAGGGCCCTATTGTATTATAGACTGCTCAAGACTAACCCGAAAGAGGTAACAACACACTCTGCATGGTTACATGTTAAATACTTATATTTGCACTTTGCCATTTCAGTTCCCAATTGTAAAACATCCATCCAGTTATTGTGTTTTATAATTAACCCAGGTGCTGTTATAATTATGTCTTTGCATTATGTATAAACTATACAGGCTGAGAGAGTTGTCTGTGGTTCAATTAACAAACCAGCCACTAATTCCTGGAATTTAAGTACCAGTGCATCTAATTCAAAGGTATGATAACATAATTTGTTGTTTTGTTCCTCATTATGAAAAAGGTTGAAACCCAACATTTGATGATCACATTTAACAGTTTATAGTCCCTTAAATGTTGTCAGGGATAGAGCAAGTGAAGCTGTATATCAGTAGGCATGAAAATTGCCACCCACAATAAAGAGAAAGGAGACATTGAGGGACTACAGACTATGCCCTGCAGGGAGCTGACTGATTTGGGGTTTAATATTATTGTGAAATCATCTTTCTAACAAACCATATTTCTGCTTTTTCCAAACAAAGTTAGATAGTTTATTCAGACATGCCCTTGCTTCAAATAAAATGTTGCACTCTGTACATTAAGCTGTAAACGAATGACTCTTGTACGAACATCTTTTGATGGCTTTAGTTTCCCACAGCAGTCTTTTTTTAACATGTATATTTTGTTAAATTTATTTGTTTGTTTGTATGTAATATAAGCAAGTTTGTCATTTGTGCTGACATAAAGTATGATTTTGCTGATGATCATTACAAAATGAATGTTGTTGTAGGAACAGCTGTTGGATGAATTCAACACACTCTCAGTTGTTTATGGACAGTCATCAGTTCTTTTTATTACCCAATCTGTTCCATATATCAAAGGACAGCCATACATAAAAGGTGATGAGAAAAAAGTTCATTTGTACATACATGATACTCATTGGGGGAAGGACGAAAAAGAGAATTTGGATTCCTGTCAGTGCCCCAATGTCACAACAAGTTTTTCCTTTCGCTCTCTTCTCAATGCATACAGTGGAAAAACAATCATAAAGTTATTATTTCCTCCTTTTGTGTCTTCTACTTCTGTAAGTTTACTAATTATTTTGTTTTGTGTTCTTATCCACTTGTTTAGATGAAGCACCTTCATATGACAGGAAAGAATTAGAAGAACAAAACGAGTCTTTGGAACGTAATGTTGCTGTTGGCAATCTGCTGGTAAATGGCCTTGAGATGTATTTCAGACAACTATTATTCACTTTAATTTAACCGAAAGCTACAGTAGAATTCATTGCTATATAGTATCCTTAGGTTTTTAATATTTTTTGATAACGGACCAAATTTAATGCCCTTAATGTTTGAAGGGAGAGGATGTTGATAATGGAAAAGAAGATGAACATCTTGGAGAGAAAAGTATACTTGAGTTGACTGAAAATCCATCCTTAACTCCTGCAATGTTTGAACATCGGTGGAAATCCATTCCAGAGAGGTAATATTACCTGATAAATTTTTCAATTGTTGAAGTTTAAAACTACAAGAAGGAAAGTATGGCAACATCACCATGTTTTTGAACTTTATTAATCTAGTTAAGCAATCTCCAGTTATTGCCCTTGTATCTGACTATATAAACATTTCCTAACATGACCCTTTTATTTCTGAATATCCACAGTTCTTGTTGGGCAGCTGCCTTGATGAAGATTCCTTCCTCTCCTGATGAATTTCAGCAACACTTGTTACACAGTAAAATTTTATTAATGGCCAGCAGTCCCCCTGGTCAGCCTATTCAAAAATACTTCTTCTATGCACAAGAGGTACACTAAATTTGTCTATGATACTAAGATTTTTATCATTGTGAAAGGGCAGGGGGAGGTTAGGGATAAAATTAAGCTAAAATTTTCTTGCATCTTTCAATTAGGTACAAGGACAAACTGTGGTCCTGGTGGAAGCTATTGTTGATGTAACTTCAAAGCTTCTTAGGGTGACCACAAAAGTGGAGGACTCGTCTTTAACGCAACTGTTTGATCAATATCTCAGAACTTCCCTTGAAAAGGAATGGATAGAATCTAAATGAAGTTAAAAGCTTGTCAAAAATAGGAGCTTGGCAAAGAAAAGAACAAAGGAAATTTATTTATTTTTAAGGTACAATGTAATTCTGTGCCTCAAAATTCAAGTTTATAGAGGACTATTAAAAACAAGAGATCACAAAATACTATTAAATTATTGTTCATTTTATTCAGTCAGTTTTCATGTCTGCTTCCAACACATGTTAATACAATGGCATGTCGCAGGCTATTTCAGTAAAAATGTTTACAAATTGATGGTTACCCTTGAGTATCTGAGTTATTGTCTTTTTTTAAAGATAACAATCTAAAACTCTCCCAGTTAACAGATCTTTCCAAATATGTATGCTTCATTGGGTGAGGTCCTTAGTGTCACAACTTTCAGCAAAAAAGTCTTGCATCACATAAGTGATAACTTTAACGTAACATGTGTTTTATTTGACAGTAGAAGGTGGTAATCACACAGTAATAGACCTCCCCCATCTCCACACCAGTGAGTGTAAATTGTGAAACAAATCCAAGGTTTGGGTTGACAGTTTTAAACAAATCACTTTGTTATACCAACCCAAGCTTTGAGCTGGTGCTTGTTAGAAAGACTGTGGGAGAGATCTTTAATGAGTAGGCAAATTTTATGCACTATGAACTAATCTTGAACTAAGTCTATAAAATACATGATTAAAGATTAAAATATAGTCTTAACAAACATGCAAGTGAGGAAATGGAAAACAATATTGAGGAGATGGGGAATGACTCCAGTATCAACACCTTGGACAAAGTTTTAGAGTTTGCTGGCTACTTAAGATAGTACAATAACCCTGTCTCTCTATCTCAACAAATTCACTTTCTCTTCAGCAAAGTGTTCATAACAAAAACTGTATAACCAGTGATTTTGTTACCTCTGCGTCCTGCATGCATCGTGTAGGACACAAAGAACGATCAATCATTTTGAAGATTATTTGGTAGAATATTATGTTCGAGTGATTTCTGTGGCTGTTGTTTAAGATGCATATTTATTTTAGTCTTTTTTTGTGTTTTAAATCTATAGGATTATATTTCAATACAGTAAAATGTAATAAAGGGTTTGGCGTCTGTCTCCAGATTAACTGTCTCGTTACATAAAGGTCTAAGCATTTTCAATTCAGGACTCCTTGTTTTTTTTTAACTGGGACTCACTGGTTATGAACAGGGACTCTTGATTTTTCACAGGATGAGTCCCAGTACTCACCACAACTATTGTAACAAAATCACTGTATAACAAAACTAAAATTATGCTATGTTGTTCCAAATGTAGTGGTATTATTTCTTTTTTAAGAAGAATGAAATTCTTATGGCATGTGAATGAACCAGACAATCAATTTTTCAAATGACAAAGATGAATCACTGTGACTGCTGTATGTCTGTAGGTCTTCACATAGTACCTACTCTTCTTTAGTAACACTAAATAAATTGTCTTTGGCACTGTTCTATTTTAAGCATAACTGATAGGAACATAAACCACAGCTATGCTTGAATATAACTGCAAAACAAAAAAAAGCAAACACCCAAATTAAAATAAAAGCCCACACTTAAGCAGACATACATACACACAGCAGAAAAGTAAATAATGCTAAAGAACCATGGTTTCCAGTGTAGGTACACAAAAACTAGGTTTTATAAACTGGGTTGATAAAAATTGATCAAGATTGAAAAGCTCATGATTTGAGTACTAGTCCTTGGACAGAACAAATAATCAGTGAACCAAAAACATGAGCTATTGCGGGCAAGTTAAACATACTTTCTGGTTACAAGTAATAAAAGTACTGAACATTGCAGTAACTAGTTAAATATCTTACAATATGAAAACACAGTGATCATAATTGAATACAGTGATAAAAATAATGACATTTGTTAATTTTGAGCCCCACTAAATGCAGCCTGTTTAGCCATTATAAGGCTGCCTACTACATAGACTGCTTTGATAGCTGCGTCTCACGTGAATGGATGCTATCTGACCTATCTAATAACACTTTATTATTATTATTATTATTATTATTATTATTATTATTATTATTATTATTATTATTATTATTTCAAGTTAACAATGTTTCTTCTCAGTAACGTCTTATGTACACATTCTTTATGTCACAACCCTGCAATGTCAAAACAATCTCATTAAACAAAATACTTTAACGAAAGAGATACAACTTAGAAACACTGTACAGCTGAACACCATTTCATTACAAGTCTAGAATAATGTCTATATTAAAAGTATGGTAGTTCAAGAGGGGCCTCCAACTATTGTAAATTTAAAATTGAAAGTTAAAATCCAAGCTTTCCCGATCAATTGGTGAAAGCTCATTTTTAACTCTTGATTTCAAATTTATAGCAGTTGAAGGCCTTGCATGAACTACAATATATGTAAAATTATCTATTTTATTTTCAAACACACTGCTGAAAGATTAATAATGTATTATAATGTATAAATTCCTTTGAAGGCCATATGGAGGTCTGGTTTATACTTCCTACTTAATGCACAAATATTAAATTGTGGACAACCACATTGGTATCCAAGGTTTCATTTAAATTCTTCCAAGTCCAGAAAAAACAATAAATTGACAGAGAAGAAACTAAAGTTTTACTGTAAATCATAGACAGATAGCTGATAACATAAATAAATTTTTGAACAATTTCAAAAATAAAACTAAAAGGCAAGAAAAACAAGAGGCACTGAAAGATACAGAACATGAACTTCATATATCGGTACGGGAGGATAACGCATTATAACAATTTAATTGGCAAAAATTCAACATTTTGATATGGATAACAGATAGTTTTAAGAATATTATCATTGCTTAAATGGAAAGTTGGAGACAGAAAACAGTGACTTGTTTTATATCTTCTTTTGCGGTTTGATAAATATAAATGATTAACTGTCAGGTACCTGACACATCTTTCAAAAGGAAACCTGCTAACTGTGTGAGAACCAATGACAGAGAGCAGGTATTAGAAATATTAAGCAGCGATCTTATTGGCTGAGATAAAGAAAAATATCAAATCAATAATTGATGAAGTATATAAAGAAAACAGATGCAATTTTCTTTAACTTAACAGATAGTAGTATTATGAAGGTATCTAACACTAAATTTCAAACTTAGTTTTAGATTCTTGTTATTCTTCTTGTTGACATTACAACTGGAACAAATGAACGTAATTTTGAAAATGAATATTACTGCCAAGTGAGAGCAGTAGAAGATACAGAATTTCCCACTGGTCATTGATGACTTTACAGCAACTGTTACATGGAAATTGTGTTATTCATGACTGCCACTTTAAGACACCATTGTTATCTGAATGAAATTCATTGTACATCAATACCAAATAAATACAAAAATCACACTCACTAAATTTCAGTGTTTAATTCACCATTTCCTGTAAACTCTAGATACAACAGATGAGAATTCCTTGCCTTCTAAAGGCTATCATAAAATTTAATAATCCTCATAACCAAATTTAAATAATAAATTATAAATTTTTCTCCAAATATAAAAGAATATCCATTCCAAAAAAATAGTGAAGACAAAAATAATATTACTAATGAAATTCTGAATAAAACTAGCTTGAGTCTTATACAGCTGTATCTTTACAAATAAGTCATCCACTATACTGTAGCTCACAAATCAAACATTTGCCAGATAAATGGCAAATGCAAATAATATTAATTCACTACTTGGCATGCATTATCAGTATAACATTTCAGCAACAAAATGGCTATCAATGTTAGTGAACATACAGAAAATTCAGACTTAATGCCAGTACTGCAACTAGCCCAATCTTGTGATCAAAGCATGCTGGATGTGGAACAAACCACTGTAAAATTATCATCATTTTGTAACTATCACATTTATATGCATTACCTGGGAAGTAAATATTTAATTTTCTGTTCTTGGTCATAAAACTACCATAATAGTAACCTTCATTTGCCTTAACCAGTTGATCATAAAAGCATAAGATCTTTATGCTGAAATAACTTAAGGATTATTATTGTGATTAATTCTAAATCCCTGAGGGTTGGGATAGTCCTTTTCAAGTATGCGTCCTAAAGAAGTACAAAACAAACTTAATCACAAAAGAGAAATGCGGAAAAGAACCAGAATCAGCAACTTAAATTGCGAAGAAAAAAATAGCAGAGAATTAAAGAACAAGTCTATTGAGTGAACAAGTAATGAATTTTTTACTTTGTTACGGTATTCATCATTAAATACAACACATCAAGATCAAACAGTTCATTTCCAATTCATAAGACTTTTTCTCATGCAGCCCCCTCCTACTCCTCCCCTCCCCAGCCTCTCCTTGTGGCAACAGTAAGCTTAGTGTTTTAGCTTATACGAAAAATTATTTCATCGTTACACATAAATAAAAAAACAACGCAAGTTTAAGTTTTATGTGTACAGACCACAAACAAAATTTGCCACTCCTGAGGATTAACCCCAAACAAAATCCCACCCATGGCCTACATTTGGAAGTTAGTAATACTTACAGTCTCTGTGTGTCCCCTGTCCGACTGTTCACCCATTTCTGATGAACTGCTAAAAGTAATGTGACACCGTAAACTCCTGCTGCTATGAAACAATTCCTGGGAGAAAAAAAAAAACATCTTCAGTTAAGAAACTTAGCCCTGTGTTCTCTCTCCCACCTTAAAATATTCAGTTGGCATCTGGTTGAGGAGCGAGTACTTTGGTTAAAGTCACCTCAATCTCCTGGCTCCAGTTGTTTAAAAGGTGGATAACCCAATTGCTTTACCCAATACTTATCTGCTGAATAGTGGTTTAGCCATTGGATATTGTTATCCAAAGTTTGAACAACAGGGTCCTGGTGATTTATGGAGGTCTGAGAATTGGACTAAATTTGTTTCTGCTTGTGTCTCTTTAGTATCTGTCAGTCACTTCTTGCTGTGAATTTAACAGCAGTCAAAGTCAAACATGACTTCTTTTCACCCTGCCCCAAAATGAACAAAATAGCCATTAGTACTCTGTATCCACAGACATGAACTCCAGTTACCCGAGGAGCCCATTCTCTTTGAAAAATATGGCAAAATAATTTGAGCACATCAGTTCTGAGTTCACAATACCTACATGTAACTAATATATTACCATTCTCGGGGCTTTCTGTCAGAGTCGATAATCAAATAAATAAATAGCTCACTTTCTCTTTCCCTATCTTCAAGGATGTTTAATAAGAAAACAACTGTTTCGTATCATGTCAATAAATAGATAACGATTTTTTAAAAAAATACAAACTTTGCAGAAGACTTGTATCCTTGCGTTTCACCCAAGCCACTTGGGATATCATCAATGAGTGCTACACTACGTACACTGAAAAACACGCCCAGTAGGAGCTGATGAAAAACAGAAATCTTATCATTTTTAGTTCTGAATAAGTTAACCTATCCCTTGTAAAATGTTCAACGTAGACTCCTGACTGTACCAATTATTAATTTGTTTAAGCTTAATTACCCCTTGACACAATCACTTTCAAAGAGTATATGGGCAAACACCCGTTTGTTTTGGCATAGACACATGAAAACTAAGGTCCAAACCCCAAAAGTAAAACTTACCAACATTACAATACCCCATATACTTATAAGAAAGCAACAATTTGCTAGTTTTGGTCCACAAATTCTAATCATCTTTCGTTGGTGTCAATTCAATATGGCCGAAAGCAAGACTCTCACGTGATATGAAGTGCGCCTCGTTTTCACAATCAGTTCGGAAGACTGGGATCAATTTGCCTTGGGTTTCAATATGGCGGATATGGCGGATGCCAGTTTGAAGAAGAAATCTTACAAAGAAATCTCCTTTAAAGTTCCCTGGGGAGTTATTGCAGCTAAAGCTTGGGGACCTGATGACGGAAAGCCTTTTCTTGGGCTTCATGGGTGGTTAGACAACGCTAACGCTTATGATAAGTAAGCTTAAACAATAATTATTATTTAGTTTTGGCTGTTTAATCTGATGGAAGAGAAGTACCCCATTTTCCTGAATAGAAGTTTTGAGTTTCAACTCTAAGGAAACAAAGATCAAAGTACCATCATCATAT